CATAAACTTTGACTGTTTATAGCAAATAATTATAATGCATGCATTCACATGATGTAATGGTATGATACGTATGCAGTAATATTAACAAATGTTACGGGTATTGCAAACTAAGGGAAATTATTTTCGTCTGTTGATGGTTTTCTGATGTTTTATTTTATTTTAATTCTGAACTTGGTTATTCTGCCATTGGATGGAGCACTTTAACTTCTACTGATGCTAGGGATTTTGAATACATTCAGTGGAAGCTTGTAGTTGTCTTTACTGTCATTTCTTTTCTCAAATCCATTACATTTATGCCAATGATTTGGACCAGATAGATTTTCATACATTATGTACCAAGAGGTACTATGTAGATGCACGTTTTGCTTTTTAATGTTTACACTGATTTTAAATTTTGTCCTTGTGTACTTGGAACTGTTGGCATTTGTGATTCTGTTGAAATTTCAGATATTTTATTTTGTTTGTTGTTGATGCCTCGCTTAAAACTTGTCTCTCTTGTAGATGTGCAGGAGCCATAAATACTATTTGTAAAGATATTGTTATTTTTAGTAGACATTTGGTTACACTTCATCATTTTGAAGTAATTATTTATTTGCCTTTGTGTATCTATTTATTTTTTGTTTAGCATAGTTATGCAGTTTTTATTATTACTTTTTGTTTATTGTTATTTTGATTATATTCATTAATTCTGTTTTTTATATTTCTGTTTTGTTAAATTTTTTATGCTGTAACTGTACTTGGTTATTCAGTTGTTGATTCACAGCATAATGACGAGCGACAGAAAGTGAAAGCTTATGTATTGCTAGTAGCGTGGTACCAAGAGGACTATTAAAGTAGTAAAACTTGTTTTACTGTCTCATTATTTATTTGTTAGTTTATTTAATAACATTCGCTCACCTGCGTAGTGTGAAGAATGTGCCCTAATTTAAGGTTCCATCAGAACCTTTACTTCGGTTGACTGATAAAATGTAAAACAAATCTCGGGCAAATAATCAAATATTTTTATCTCCAAAGTATGAGGGAGAAGTGGTAACCTCCCTAGTGTGTGATTTTCAGCTCTACGTTCTTAGGTTGAATTCATACAAGATGATATAGTCAAATTGTATATCGTTATTTATGTACAAAACTATTCGATACAAAAATTAAAAACAATGGCACACACGTAATTACAAAGCACTTCGTATGGAAGTGAATTTCCTCTTCAACAGAATTTTAACATCTGGATATCACTTTACTGTGACTGTACTGCATCGTGACTGATGGTTTCAGCCGTCCATGCCTGAGGTCCGAGTACCAAATACGTTGGGCGTAAATTCCGAGGGACTACCTCAAGGATGGACCATGCAAGTGGCACCTAATGGCCGTGTTTTCTTCATTGACCACAACGAAAGAGCCACGACTTGGGTAGATCCTCGCACAGGACGTGCCAGTCCTATGCCAAACCAAAACCATCCGCCTAACCGACGGCCTGAAGACGAATTAGGGACTCTACCAGAAGGTTGGGAAGAACGGGTTCACACGGATGGAAGAATATTTTTTATTGATCATAGTAAGTAATATTTGTTTGTATGTGTTGTCTCATAAATATTTCTTCAAAAATTTTGTTATTGTGTTTAGTATTAATGTCATATGTTGTGTTTTTGACTTCTGACTCTTACTATTTCAGATACTAGAACCACTCAGTGGGAGGATCCAAGATTGTCAAATCCTCAGATTGCTGGTCCAGTAAGTGTTATTTCATTTAGTCATGTAATTCAGAGCAAACTTTAGTCGGAGATTTAAAAACTGAGGAGCCGGAGTCGGAGGTTTTGTGTACTGACTCCACAGCCCTAATTGTGAGCCGTCTCATAGTAAGTAATACACAGGTTTAAACTGTATCTTATTACAGCAACGAACTGTATGATACAAGGTTAGTGAGCGCACTGACTTGTAAATCGTAGTTAACTTCGAAAGAAAATCAAAATATGTATTTAATGATATTTCTATAGTATGACGCGTGGAAGCGTACGATGTTGATGAGGGCGTTAGACACATCCTTGCTGATGGCTACCACCGCTCAGTTCTTTTACCTGAGTAAGGCCGGTAGGAGGCACCATTTTTTCATTGGAGGATTATGCTTCATGACTATGGCCTTGATATTGCTGGTATGTGACACGTAGGCATAGGTTTCGGTGTTCATGAGAAGTCACATTGCTTACATTCCTAGTCTGTTCCTGCAGTGCATATATATATCTCTCTCTCTCTGCGCCTTCCCTTTCCTTTTATATTTATGTATAATTATTAAGATAATTTATCGGGCACCGCCACCCACTACGTTGATTGGAAATGACATCATATAGTACAGACAGCAAATACTAATACTATGTAAAATTTCTGGCTGGTAGGTAGATTAGTCGGCGGCACTTCTAACGGAATCCTTGCTGGCTGACAGATTGGAAACTGGACACTAAATTTTTAAAAGTGATACACGTTATTGTGGATATGAGGTTCTTTTTGGGAGTGAAGATGTTGAATGTGATCTTCCGGGTTGTGACGCCATGCAGTGTTGTGTGTCGTTACTGACATTTCAGAGCAAAATTTTGCCTCCGACTCAGGCAACCACATCAGCACGCATCATGATTATACGTTTATAAATAATCTGAAACCGTGTGTTTTCAGGCAGTGCCATATTCTCGTGACTACAAGAGGAAATATGAGTATCTGAAATCTCAGTTAAGGAAACCAGTGAGTATTTATAGTACACTGGGACTGGATGTGTGTATTTACTTATGAGTCTACTGTAATAGTAAAATATGGATCCCTTGGTACCGAGGTTTCATCAAAATGCACGCTATTTTATATGTATAAGTAGTTTGCATGGTGCTTTGGATTTTATTTTTTAAGATTTGTTAGAGATTTGGTTATTCTGGAGTAGTGGAAACGGAATAATGTATTGAAATGAACGCTCGTCTGTATTGGACAACTTCGGCGTGAGGGTCTAAATACGTCTTTAACCGTCTGGCGTATTCTCGCAGATATTTTGGATGTCAGTTTGATGTTATCAGTTACCGTGATAGCCATGAAATGTTGCTGAGTGGAAGTCAAAACAGTTGACTTATTGGTGATGACGGACACAGTATTCCTGTACAGAAGTTGTTTAATTTTGAACACTGTAATAATTATTATTATATTTAGGTATGTTGAAGAGTCAGAATTAAATAGGATGCCAATGTTTTGAATGTATGTGAATATTCAGCAGATAGAAAATGTTTGTGAACGAAGTTTTAGACTGTAAGTAATAGAATATGTTATGTTCTTAACATTCTAGTATGTCTGGTTTACACAATATTCAAGTTTATGAATTCTGTGGTTGTAGTGAATCTGTCGTCTCGCAACCTGTAACTTTCAAAGTATAGACAACTTTTACAGAGCTCTTCAACCATACTGCCATATACTACGTCACCCGCCTGCCATGCGTTACGTTCACTGTAATTCTGCAAGGGGGTTGCATGCAACTGATCAGTTTGTGCATGCATAGTAGCTTTTACTTCCTCCGGTTTATCCTACTGTCATGCACGGAAGATGGCTGTCTTCTGGGTCGTTGGGTTGTTGCACCGCGTTGTCTGTTAGAAGTATACCGACGTTTCAGAGGTCCTTGCTGCCTCCGTCATCGGGGTGATTGTTGTGCTGCATAGTCTGTTAGAAGTTTACCGACATTTCAGAGGTCTTTGCTGCCTCCATCATCAGGGTAACTCATCACCCTGATGATGGAGGCAGGAATGACCTTCGAAACGTCGGTAAATTTCTACCAGGCTATGCGGCACAACAACCTAGAAGACAGCCATCTTAGACTCACCACCACGAGAACCTCAAATCGTACTGTCTTGCACATGATTGGGAGTTAACTGGTGTTGGAGTGTGGTCATGAGCGTTGTTGAATGTGAGCCATGAACTCTGTGTTGAGGTAAGTTGTACAACCGGAAGCCCCAAGTTATATAACAGCGATCATTCATAAGTAACTTACTGTTGTACAGGGTGTTCCTTGGGCAGTTTATAGTAACTTAGCTGGTTAAAAGGTTTCTTGCTGTGTTAACTAAAGCACTTGATTGGAGACTAATAAACTGCTTTTTCCCTTTTACACTTTCAAATGTTTCTTTAAGGTAATTTATCATTCTGTCCTTCCATCTGTATGGAGTGATCTTATCTCAAAATTTTTCAACCCTGATTTTGTATATATTTGTTTTCCCCACACACACTGCATTTTCTACCCCTCTCATCTTCATTTGATCATCTGAAGAACCTCCTCATTATTTTATTTTATTCTTTACTACATGTCTCTTAGTTCCTCTTGTTCTCCTTCGCGCTTTTCTGAAATAACCTGCGTCTGTTTTTCTAAGCGAAAGATCAATCTTTAAATCATATTACATTTAATGTGGACAAATTTATGTGCCATTGTGTTTCTGTTTACAGAACAACGTACCAAATAAATTTGAGATCAAGGTACGAAGACAGAATATTTTGGAAGACTCGTATCGGATAATCAGTAGTGTGAACCGAATGGAGCTGTTCAAAACCAAGTTATGGGTTGAGTTTGAAGGTGAAGTGGGCTTGGACTATGGTGGACTGGCTCGTGAATGGTTTTTTCTGCTCTCCAAAGAGATGTTCAATCCATACTATGGTTTATTCGAATATTCCGCAATGTAAGTCATTTCTTTTGTCCCCAGAGATAATTCAGTTTTTAGTTCATTGAGTCAGTATCATCACTGCCACTTTGCAAGACAATTTCAACAGTAAACGTGGTATGATGACGTTCGGCATCAAATGTAAAGAAAAATAATTTGCATTTCAATCTGTAAGAACATCTCTACACAAACAATGATTTTGTTTGTCAGGGATAACTACACGCTTCAGATTAACCCTTTCTCTGGGTTGTGTAATGAAGAACATCTCAATTACTTCAAGTTCATTGGACGTATTGCGGGGATGGCTGTTTATCATGGTAAACTACTAGATGGTAAGCAGTGCAGTGCACTCATTTCAAATCCTTTATTATGGTTGTGATTTTACAATATCTGTTGTAGTTTACATTAAGTAGTATCATATTTAAGCATGTATAGATTGCATATTCTGTTTTATGTCGAGAAATTTGATTATCTGTAAGAATTTTCATTTATCTTGTTTTGTCTCATTGTGTCATTCATGGTTTATGTTATTTTTTAAAACTTGTCGCTTCTCCTCTTCTGTCAGCTCAAGTTCTGAGATTGGAAGCGTGCGGTACATAACGGAATACACTTACGCATTCTTCGCAAATTCCGAATTATTGATAAAAAAAATTTATGTCAATTTTGTTTGACAAATTTAGTTTCCAAGTGTACAAATAAATGATGTAGCCTTAATGTCTTCTTCAAGTACTGTAAATTAAAACTGCTATGTCGCAACGTTCATTAACTCTATTGCGACATACTTGTCTTGTGTGTATGGAGTTACGGATTCCCAGTAGTGAAAACGTTTTTTATTTCTTTCATGCAATAGCTGTGTTGTTTTACGTTATTCAAAGAATTGCTATACGAGAATTTTGTATTTTCTGAAAATCTGTAGCCATACATCATTTTATGGCCCTAAAATAAGTGGTGCTAGTGGTAACACCACCTCACAAGTTTGTTCATCTGCTATGTTGGTATTACTGATTTCAGAAAATTTAGTAGTGTGATTTTGGGGAAGTCCCGAATGGCATAATGTCGTTTCCAAATTTCATCAAAATCCATCCAGCAGTTCACAAGTGGAATTGTGCAGAATTTGTAATGACTTGCAGTAACATGAGTGTGTGTTAGAAGAAAGTTGTGTTATTTGATTGCTTTGCAGCGTTTTTCATCCGTCCCTTTTACAAGATGATGTTAGGCAAGGCAATTGACCTGAAAGATATGGAAAGTGTGGATTCAGAATATTACAATTCATTACTTTGGATCAAAGAGAATGATCCTTCAGAACTTGAACTTACTTTCTGTGTGGATGAAGAGAGTTTTGGTCACTTTTCTCAGCGGGAACTGAAACCAGACGGTGCAAACATTCCTCTCACAAATGAAAATAAAGATGAATACATAAGGTTAGTATAGGTGAGGTTGTTTGGTACTTAGTTTTGATATATCCTTCTCCGTGTTTGCTCATGTAACTACTACTTCATATTTTGTAATTTATTATAAAGAGTTTATGTTAAGATAAGACAGCCAAAATATAAAGTGAAGCTTTCGCGGCGTCCGAAGTTGACGAAAGACTCTCGGGCAACAAGCCGCTTCAGGTGGCCGAATGGTTAATGAACCATTTATTCCGCCAACGTTTTGAGAGCCATCTCTGCTCTCATCCTCACGGCAGCTGCAAAACGAAACTGGTCTGAGGATGACAGCAGAGATGGCTCTCAAAACGTTGGCGGAAGAAATGGTTCATTCAACATTCAGCCACATGACGCGGCTTGTTGCCCGAGAGTCTTTCGTCAATATCTAAAATAGTTTTACAACATTTAGAGGACATAGAAATTTTAACTGATTTTACAAGTTTAATTGCTCAGCCCACTGCTTGAATAAGCGTGATTTCTCTTACAGAGAAAATATCTGGTGAAATTTTGTCCAACTGGTGAAATGAGCAAGTATTTATTGACCCCTGGCTACTTTATATTTTATGTGTCCATGAAATTTTCACCGCTGGGAGGGAAGCAGCTGTCACCATTTTAGGTCACGTTTAACATCTCTTGATTTATTTTCTAGCCTGGTTATCCAGTGGCGATTTGTGTCACGAGTACAAGATCAGATGAATTCATTTCTTGATGGTTTTAATGGTCTGGTGCCCCTTAATCTGGTCAAAATCTTTGATGAACATGAGCTTGAATTGTTAATGTGTGGCATACAGAACATTGATGTCAAAGACTGGAAGCAGAATACGCTGTACAAAGGGGACTACCACCCCAATCATATTATTGTACAATGGTTTTGGAGGGTAAGTAGTAAGCCTTACACTTATATAGTGTTTATGCAGTAGTTTGAGTGGATTGAAGAGGTACCGAATGTTTGGTACATCATGTCAGTAAGAAGCAGATAGTTGCAACCAGAGATTTGGAAATAATTGCTATCAGGCACAGGGATACCTCGTTATATTGCATTTTATTTTACAAATCGAAGGCTTGTGGCAACCCTGCGTCGAGCAAGTCTATCGGCGTCATTTTCCCAACAGCACGTGCTCACTTCGTATCTCTGCGTCACATTTTGGCAATTCTCGCATTGTTTTTTAGACATAATGATATTTCACACTTAACAGACTACAGTATAGCGTAAACATAATTTTTATATGCACTGGGAAACCAAAAATTTGCGTGACTCTCTTTATTGCGGTGGTCTGGAACCGAAACCGCAATATCTCCGAGGTATGCCTGTAGTCAGGTTACGTGTTTTTACTAAGAAACTCTATGGAGTAGTGTCCTTGAGATGCTAATAAATAATCAGCTAGTCTAGAAATTCCATGCCTGCTAGGGAATCAAAATGTTTATTACTGTGTTTACAAAAGATATTCACAAGATATTCCTTGCCTTTTTTTCCCATATTTCAGCCAAATGAATCTGGTCCATATCCTCTCACCCTCTATCTTAAGAGCCATTTTAATATTATACTGCTGTTTATGACTAGGTCTTAGAAATGGTCTCATCCTTTTTGGTTTTGTGACTAATTTTTTTTTTGTTCTTGATTATGGTGCATGCCCCACCAATCTCATTCTTGTTAACGATCAACTAATAATTTTTGTTATTATGAGTACGTATTGTGAAGCTCCTTATTAAAATAATAAACCTAGTATAAAGCAAAGAATATTGTTGTTTGCACGTGACACTTTTCTTTGTTTTGTTTTACAGCATTCAGTAAATATTTAAATTTGAAATGATTGCATCAAAGTATTAAAAGAATTTGTTGGCGTGGTTCGTTAAGTAGGGCAGTAAGACTACGGTGTGTGTATTCAGCAATATTTGTATGTTTGTAGGTTGTGCTTTCATTTAATAATGAGATGCGAGCTAGACTGCTGCAGTTTGTGACGGGAACTTCTCGTGTTCCGATGAACGGTTTCAAAGAACTGTATGGCAGCAATGGTCCGCAGCTGTTTACCATAGAGAAATGGGGTCAGCCAGAAAATTATCCCCGTGCCCATACATGGTAAGTAAAATCTTGCCAAATTTAATGCATTTATTGAAGTCCAGTATATTTTTTTTTGTGAATTGCGTTAACATTAGAGCAACGTGTTTAAACAGTGGTGTAATTAAACTTTTATATATGTATATAGCATGTTTGAGTTATTGGCAGTTTACAGTTGATTTACACAAAAGTGAGTTCAATAACTGTTTGAATTCGTGCTTTGAATATATTAGTGTAAACACTGTAAGAAACGTGGTGTCGGTACAGTATGCTGACGGAATACATTAGTATTCCTAATTGAGATTGTGACGGCGTACTATCACTGACTTTTTTTTTCCGTGGGTACAAGGTTCTTGAATCTTTTTATAACGGCAGATGTAAGAGGTATGTTTTAACTGTTATTACAACTTGTTAATCTAATGCAGCTCTGTCTCAACTGTACATGCCATATGAAGAAAGTTTGCTAATTATGGGGTCCGCAGTGGCCGTGCGGGCCTTGTGCCGCTTGTTCGCTGGGTCCGTGGGTTCGAATCCCACTCAAGCCATGGATGTTTGTACGCGTTTTTCTGTGTCTTGCTGTCCTGCGTACAAGTAGAGGCCTTGCGACGGGCCGATCCCTCGTCCAAGGAGTCCTACCGAATGTCTATAATCAAAGCAAACGAAAAGTTGGGACCCGAAGATGCTCAGGTACTGAAGAACATCGCTTTAAAAATAGGTTAGGTTAGGTTAGGTTATTTTAGGTTAGTTTTTGTTAGGTGCGTACAAGTAGAGGCCTTGCGACGGGCCGATCCCTCGTCCAAGGAGTCCTACCGAATGTCTAATAGATCAAGCTAACGAAAAGTTGGGACCCGCAGTGCTCAGGCACTTGAAGAACGGGTCATTCCCAGTATCCAGAAAGCATTCACCTCTCATTATCATGACACACAACATTAATGTACATAGTATTATTAAACACTTCTACCAATGTTACGCTAGGCTTTTGAATGTATCTGAACTATTTATATTCAAAATTTATTTACCAAATCTATACTTTTTATGAGCGGCATGCAGAAAGCTACCTTTTTCATGCTTGCTAATAACATGTCATAGAAATCTGAAAAATCTGTCTCGCTCACACACCGTTGTCAGCGTACTCACTCGTTTACCCCTGAACAGTCTTTGGGAAGATTTAACAAGTTCGCAGCGCAGCAGAAACATAAAGACCATCACAGATTAACAGATCTCTGTAAACAAATCACCACTTTACCTCCCCACCTATACTGCGTTGCTGGTTGCTGAACGAGTGTGTGAACGTCCAGATCCACTTCCGTTTGTATTGGCCAGTCATATTGGTAACTGTACAAAAAATTAATACTCTTTAAGCAATAAAATTAAAGAGTATCGAATAATTCTGTACTTTACATTTGATTTGAGAATTGATGATAGTTTTGTGTCGCCAGTGGGGTGCGACTGATTCTTAATTGAAAGAACTGACCACAGCCACTTCATTTTGTATCCCTGCTTTTTTGGGGGGGGGGTCTTTATTTTCTTTTCTTTTATTTTTCATTTTGACTGTGTGAGAAATCTTTCACGATGTCATGGTTTTGCACCGTCTTATAAAATTCAACTTTAGGACAACGGTAAATGATTTGTACATATCAAAAATTAACTTAAGAACAGATATTTTTCTGGGATAATAAGTCCTGTTTTTATAAGATTTGAGGTTCTCATGGTGGCGAAGATGTCAGTGTTGATCTTCTGTGTTGTAATGCTGTGTGGACCCATAGGTAAATACCAGCATTTAAGAGAGTGATACATCTCGAGCCGTGAAGATGGAGACAGTGTGTTTCTCCAAAATTCTGGTATCTGCCTACAAGTTCACTTGACGTTATTACCCAGAAGCCCAAAACAGACAAGCCTCTTGTTAATTCCACTTTTTGAAATGTAAATAAAATATGACAACCTTGCAGAATACTAATTTTATCGTTGTGTTCAAGTTTCAATAGGTTGGACTTGCCTCCTTATGAAAGTTACCAGCAACTACGTGAGAAGCTCATCAAAGCTATCGAAGGGTCGCAAGGATTCGCCGGAGTCGACTAACCGTCGTGCGCCGTATCGTGACGTTCGGACACTTTCGCCAGCTGTATTATATTGTACATACTGAGACCTTTTTTTTTTAAATTTCACATTAGTAATGTACTGCACTTTTTATGCCTTCCGTCTTCGGCGCACCAAATTAAACATAAAGAACTGTACAAAATTCTCATTTGGTTACAGTTTCTTTGGTTAGTGCTTTTTTGATTGTAAATATTTTGATTTTGTATGTGAGTGTTTTAGGTTATGTATATAATGTATAATGTGGAAATATTTGTTTTTTCATACCTGTGATTATCCACTGAATGGTTACAAATCCAGTCTTACCTTCGTTATATGCAGGAACTGGCAGTGGTTTGCTTCTGTGCCGTAGAAAATGACGTCCTGGGTAAGGTAGCTCCTATTCGTAAAACTAGCCTTTGAATAAGCGTCACTTGCTAAGACAAACAAGTAGCTCTGTCCCCCTTTGTACATTTTGATACAAGTAATTTTGATAATGTACCATAATCATCAGTTGGGGCAGTGGTGTTGATTTGTACCTAATGTAAGAGAAAGTTAAAAGTGATCTTTGTCTCGAGTGAAGTATAAATTATTACGAGTAACTACCGTAATTGAAAATTCTATGTACATGAGAAACTATACCAACATAACTTTTCAAAACATACTGATGTATCATGTATTTAATTAATGAATCGCAACACAGTGATATCGCATTGGAATTATTATTTATCTTTGACATATCTATTATCTAATATCTAATGGAATTATACAGACTATTATTAATACTTCCGAGATCTTACGATGTCTTGAATGCAGTATGTGGGAGTCTTTTTGTCGTTAGTCATAATAGTTATATCAGTGCTAAATGGGAATAATTACAACAAATACCTCTGATGATCATTATTTATATAAATATTAGTAATATAATCAGTAATTTATATTGTAATAACAAATCAAATGAAGTTTATATTCTTCATGCGCTACTCTTGAATTATTATTACTATAATTCTGAAATATCGAAATTTCTCGATTTTAAGACACTTGATTTTTTAATTTTAAATTTTCAGAAATTGGGGTACATCTTACATTTTATGGCACCAAAGAATCACTGTAGTATCTTTTTCCTGAAGACCTCTTACTAAGTCAAGGGTGCGTCCTACGGTTGATGGCGTCTTAAAATCTAGGAAAAACTGTTACGAGGGTCGCTCATTAAGTAATGCCCCACATTTTTTTCCTCAGAACATATTTATTCAAGATGGCTCAAATTTAGTGACAATATAAATCAATGTTTCCTTTACACATACTATTTTTCCACATAGTCCCCATCAACTTGTACGGTTTTACGCCAGCGTGGAACAAGGGCATGCATGCCTTGCCGGTACCAGCTCTTGTCCTGTCCCCGTAGCCATGTCCTCACTGCTTGAATCACGCTCTCGTCATCTTCAAATCTTGTTCCGCGGATAGCATCTTTAAGGGGCCCAAAGAGATGGAAGTCGGAGGGTGCCAGATCTGGACTGTAGGGTGGATGGGGTAGCACCGTCCAACCCAATTTGGTGATTTCTTCCCGGGTTCTCAGACTTGTGTGAGGGCGTGCATTGTCGTGCAGGAGCAAAATTTCTGCTGGATGCTTGTGAGGCCGAACTCGTCGAAAACGCTTCTTGAGGGTTTTCAGGGTCCTGATGTACGCGTCTGAATTGATGGTCGCACCTCTTGGCATCACATCCACAAGAATGACCCCATCACTGTCCCAAAAGACAGTCATCATGACTTTTCCGGCGGAGGGAGTTGTCTTGAATTTCTTCTTTCTCGGTGATTGAGGATGATGCCACTCCATTGACTGCCTTTTTGTCTCTGGCTCAAAGTGGTGTATCCAGGTTTCGTCACCTGTAATGATCCGGGACAGAAAGACCTCTCCCTCAGCATCAAAACGCTCCAACAATTCAGAAGAAATCGTTTTCCTTTGAATCCTGTGGTCTGCTGTGAGACTTCGTGGAACCCATCTTGCGCACACCTTCGAATATGCAAGAGCCCGGATAATTGCAATCACACTTCCATTGCTGACTGAAAGCTGTTGGGCCAATTGTCGAGTTGTGATGCGCCGATCCTCACGAATAATGGCATCCGCGCGGTTCAACATGTCTGGAGTGGTGGCTGTGGCAGGACGCCCAGAGCGCGGCAGATCACGGAGCTCGGTTTCTTCACTTCCTGAAGCTTTAACTCTCTTAGCCCAGCGACCAACGGTGCTCCTATCGACTGCACAGCTTCCATACACAGCACACAAACGTTTATGAATGTTCACCACCGTTTCTTTTTCAGCAACAAGGAATTCAATTACAGCTCGTTGCTTGTAACGAGAGTCGTTCACAGACGCCATTTTAACAGTTCACTACAGCTCCGCTATCGGTTGGAATCATTTGAAACTCCGTACACGAACGCGGGAAACATCAAATCTCAAGCATGTAAAAGTACACTTTTCTATCTTCATTATTGGCTGAGAAAAAAAATGTGGGGCATTACTTAATGAGCGACCCTCGTATATTGCAATTATAATATGAATACTGGCTGAGAACTTTCTTGCTTTGAATTAAATTTTATGTATTTAATTTATGGCCAAGGAGCATCTGTCTTCTGTGATTTTGATTTGTACTAGACAAAAACATTGTTCCTTTCATACAGCCGTAACACTAGTGCATAAAATGGTGTTCATAGTATTTATATTCCACGAAGGTGAAAACGAGATATTTCAGTTTGTTTTTAATTAATTTCCAGTTGTTAAATGCCACAAAAGTCATTTATTGATCATGTATATCATCAGGTTCATACACCACATGGCACCGCTACATCGCGTCGTCTGTGAATTGCGAGAAGCACTCGGTTATTTTATGGATAAATTCTGAGGAAACTGTTTAGTACAGTTATTTTAGCGCAACTACATTGGTTGGAAAGTTTATCCGTTTAAAAGTATGTGCAATTTTTACCAATCAGTCACTTTGATTTGAGGGAATATATAAAAAAATAGTTACTTCCCATTATAGCTATTGGAAATACATTTTATCTTTTTAATTTTTAAATTTTATTTTAAGACGCTATCCCAGCATTTGTCTGGAGTGACTGATTAAAACCACAGAAACTTGTCAGGATATCTTGTCTGCAGGTTAAGATTTGAATGAAGGTAGGACTACCCAAAAATGAAACAGGATTGGCAACAGCTTGACGTTGACTCTGTTTTGTTGCTGGTTGTAACTAGAGGGATGTGTGTTGAAAATCAGTACCAGATGTTTTAAATGGTTGTGGGATGTTAACATTCCTTCAATATTTAAAATAAACATGACAAGAAGTCTAATTCTGTGACTGCTTATGTACTGTATGTAGGGCAGCCATTTGAATTTTTTTTATCGAGATGGCAGGATGATTCAGTAAAGACTTGCCCAGGATCGATTGCATGATATATACTGAGCTCACTCAGAATCACCCATATACAAACATCCCAACAAGTGTCCAAGCGATAAATTCCTTTCCTGAAGAATTCTGAGTGCTGCTGTTAGTTAAAGTTGCAAACAGCTTGTTTCTCTTGAGTGACTGGCGGGAAATGGTGCACTTGAATGCCCGTTTCAGTGCCCCTTTTGATGTGGAAGTTCCAGTGGGAGAGAGATCCAGACTGTGTCCTGGAATGCTATAGTACAGCGTTTCTTAACCTATGGTACGGGAACCACTTGTGGTACACGAGCCAATGTTGAGTGGTACGTGGACTAAGTAAGAAAATCAAAAGATAATATTAACATAAATAAGTTTTCCCTGAACGCATTTGGTCAGTGGTACATTTAACGTGTTAAATTAGAATTAGTGGTATGCCAGCGAAAAAGGGTAAGAAACCCTGCTCTAGTACCTTCCAGTGCATATGCTGTAACTTTGGCCTAGATGGCATTTGCTAAATGAGGGCATGCATGTGTGTACCATTACATTGAAATTATGAAAAATTTTGAAATTTCAACGTCTGGTCATTGCACAAACCGTCTCTGAAGGGCTGTCTGCAGAGGCTGGGTCAAGTAGGCACCGTGTGTAGCAGAGAAGTGTTCTGGTGAAGATTGGGTGGAGAGAATTTTAAAAATATCTCAAATTTTTCGAAAAATTAAATGCTGGAAACTGTCTAAAAAGCGCACAAAACCGAAACTTTTGAAGTTTTGTGCGCATTTTGGACAATTTCCAACATTTTTTGATGTTTTGAAATTTTGCAAAATTTCTAATTCTTTAAAAATTCTCACCACCAGTTTCCTGCCACATCCGGTCTCTGCCAAACTCGGGGACTGCACGAACCGGTCTTAGTATGACGCGGTCTCAGAAGGGCTGTATTTGCAAAGACATCGTCCGGCATCTACAAATATGGTGCATATACCTATTTCTGAAAAGGCCTGGTCATAATTAGGTGTAAGTATGAAATATCTAGTTTCAGCACCTCTTAATTGTCAGAAAATGTGAAGAACCTCTGATATTTTTTATTCTAAATTTTCCAAGATAAAATTTCAATTTCAACAGCCATCCACTGAAGAACAGACAAATAGGGAATGAGAACACCACTGAAGTAATTTTAAGGACATTCTACCGAACGAGCACCGTATAGAAGAGGGAAATCATTAAAGTGGCTTTAGGAGCTTTGTCGGGAAGAACTTGCTGTGTATAAGTACATTTTTTTGTTTTATGAAGAGATACTTGAATAACTTCATCACAATGACATAAAATCCTAGGACGCTGTGCGAAACACCTAATTTGTGTATGTAATTTGTGAAACACCAGTAGTATTAGGCAGTCACCCGGTTACGTGCTTCAGAATGAATAAAGAATATAAAATTATTCCTTCGGGTGAAACTGTGTCCAATGTATGGTATTAACCAACGTTTTGACAAACATTACAGTTGTAATTTTCCAGGTGACGAGATCTGAAGGCCCCACTTTGAAAGTGCAACTGCAGTTTGGTGAAACGTGGGTTAATAGTAAGCGTAAGTTATACATTGAACTCCAGCTGTGAATGTTTATGGACAAGCTTTATTCAGGTTTCTACTGCAAAATGTATGGGAGAGAGAGAATAAATACATTTCGTTGTTCTTTTGAATACTCTTATTATCTGATGGTTTGCAACTGCTGGATAGTTTTCAGTCGATTGTGCCAATCAGTTTCATTATCTTCATACCGAGATTGCAGATATTATGTTGGTATTACTTGTGGCAGTTGTAGCGACTTTGTTACAGGAGTCGTGGAGATTTCTTAATCGTTCAGTCTGTCATATTTGCAATTGTATTTTACTTCTGTTGTGCTAATTGATGCGGCAGAGAGATTGATGAACTATTAGAGATTTTGGTTAGTGGCGTTGATCTATATACATTTGTTGAAATTCGAGTGGACAAAAGAAAGTACTGTGAAACGTATTTCAGTAGTTTCACAGATTTAGTACCATATAGTTGGATTTCAGATTATGCCATATACTTGTTACTTGTTTTTGTACTTCTGTGTTTACTGAGTTTTTAGATATATAGTGCCAGTACTTATATTTGGTATGTTGTAAAATGAAATGTATGTGTATCATACAAATGGGACATTACTCCAGTTCTTGTTTCTGATGTTTTGCGATGATTAAGAAAGGGTCTTTTGTTGAGACAGTAAATATGTATTGTTATCCCAAATATATCTAGGTCTCCAAAGTGGTTTTTTCACTTCAAATTTGCTGACCCAATTTTTTTTTGATTTCTTATTTCTGCGATGTCTGATGCATGCCTTATCCATCTTATGTAATTGTGTCACCTTAATATTTTACAAAGAACAGCTCCATGCTTAGGTTAGTTACAGAGAAAGAAAGCCATAAAGTATTGTAAACTTTCTATCATATGGAAAGTAATCTGAACATATTTTGATAAATTTTGAAACAAATATTCTTCATTGCTTTCAGATTTAGTTTATATTAAAACATTATGGTGAGTGTTGCATTCAGTGACTTCATGGTCCAATTGGTTGAATATATGATAAGTAAAGGGAAGCTGGATGATGATGGTAAGTCTTTGAATTCTGTTATCTCCCTTAATTAATCCTGAATGTAATGTAGCTTTAAGTGTAATAAGTTCAAAATAACAAAAACAGGGGATCTCTAAACTTAAATACTGTTTTCCAGAACATGATGACGAAAGTTCAGTAAGCACCGAAGGCCCACCAGTAAGGAAATTATGTGTGGGAAATATAAGTGATAGGGTAAGTAACATTTTTGTGTGGAAGTCATACTATAAATATATTTAAAGAAACTGTTAAAGTTTTGAACACATCAAAAGTAATCAGAATATGTTTTGAATATTCAGGATAGTTGCAGGGCACATTCCCGTTTTGGTTGAGTTGGAGGTAAGATAATAACAGGAAACCTACACAGAAAGCATAGGCAGCGTGAAAGAGATGCCAGTAAATGTGAAATTACATATGAAGACGTATGTTTTCAAATTGATATTAAACTGTTTTATTGGTGTATTGATTAAAATTTTATTTCATGAAATATTGGTGAATGTAAGGATGTAGACGTTCATTATAAAGTGGATATCTCTGTTGGTAGATACAGATGAAGCTTATTAAGAGTGCACCTGGTATATGTTTAATGAATTTGAAATGGCTTTAGGAACCCCTTTTCTTGAGTGCCTATTTGAAATTTTAGTTATGTCTTTTGAGTCCTTCATTAGTTCTTAATGAAACTGTGTATAGCACTTATATCAGAAATATCATTTACTAATTAATTTTAAGGGTGATTTTACTTAAAGCTTTACATATACCTTATGGATCCTTTGGAATAATTTGGTTAAACATAAAATTTATTAATTTCATTTTACAAGTATTACCATATGTGTTTGATTCACTTCATTTTATGTTACCTAAGAGACTGACAGATTTTTATGAAGCTTGTCTTGTTTCATTTTTAGACATCTTACTCTGATCTACGTCGTCTTTTCCGTCAGTACGGGAAGGTTGTTGATGCTTATATTTCAAGACATTTAGTTACCCAGGAAAGAAAGAAATATGGCTTTGTGATATTTAAGTATCCAGAAGATGCATTAAGGTAAATAGAACACATTAAAAATAGGAATCTTTTGCCTGTAATATTTGGCTCAGATTATTAAAGTGAAAATATGTAAATAATTGCTAATTGTTTATATTAATTTCAGTTGTTCATTTTATCTTTTATTTGTTTTTCTTATGAGGGAAATTGGTTCTGTGTGTCTCAAGATTTAGAATCTGGCACAGAATGAACTTTGTCTCTTATCAATGTCTGTGGAAAAATTAAGTTTGGTTTGCAGATTTTTGTTTTGTTGCACGACTGTCGTGCATTCAAAACCTGTTTTATTCTACATTACATCAATTACCTCATCTAATTTAAATACCATTATTCTAACTTGGGCACGGCCTGCAGTGGTATATATTAAAGGGTACAGTGTATCTGTAATAAATATCAAATTTGAATGTGTTTTCAGTGTGTAATGTGAATGCTGAAGTAGCATTTTCAAATATGACCACAAGGGAGTCAACATAGTATATCCATAAGCACATTAAAAGTTATTGCATTTAAGGTACTGCCTTCTTTTATTCCAAAGATGGTTTTATTTCCTTTGGCAGATACTGAATAAACCAACTGTACCAAAATTATGTTCTTTTGGGTTTTGGTGCTGTGCTGGCTGGTCAGTAGATGTAAGCAATTCAGAGAAATGTCTGTGTCCATCTTCAGGGCTGAACCAGTCGACATGGTGCCAAAACCCTGAAGAACATCGTCGTTGCCACAGTGAGGAGACAATCTTCTAGATTTTGTTCACAGTTTTCATTGTTATGAAATTTTGTTGTAACATTTGAAGTCATGAAGTTATGGTGTTTGTGTGTGTGCACATGTGCATGCCTGTATTTGTTAGTGGACTTGCTGTTATGTGACAATCATATGCTCAGTATAAAAGTTGGCAGTATTTAGTTAATACTCTGTAGGATTTGAGGTTTTCATGGCGATGAGTCAGAAGACAGCCGTCGTTAGTTAATACTGTTGAGTAACTCATTTTATTTTTGTATAAGAAGTAAATAATTGGTGTTTGGTGTTTTCCAGGGTGTTGAAATTGAAACGCGGAGAGCTGAGGCTTCATTTTCGGACTTTAAATGTGGCACCAGCCTACAGCTGGCACCAACCAGTTGAACTGCCAGATGGAAGAGTCTTGTGGAAGTCAAATTCCCATGGTAGGAAGCATGACCCGTGTCAGGAGATAGATTCACCGGAGTCGCAGACTCATAATAAAGCCACGACCCCTTCTGGGAGTGAGTCTACTTTGGATGACGAGAAGGAGAGTGAAACAGTCGGCGGATGTGACCTTCCTTCTCAGACGTCCGCCCGTGGTACAGTTGAACAGCAGCAGGAAGGAGAAACAAAGAATGGCAAAGTAAAAAGGAGAGAAGTGAAGGGAAAGTGTAAAATCCATATTCTCAATGATGATTGCCTCATGCATATATTCTCGTATCTTACCACAAAAGAGAGATTTAGGATTGAGATAGGTATGTTATTTTCTCACATGTGTGTTTAATTAATAGAATTCCTACTGCTCGGTGGTATATCCCGCCCGAGATACAAGTGCCGTCTGCTTTGCACTTGAAACAGCCGAATGTTTTACGTACCAACTGTGAAGCTTAATGGCTCACGAAGGCACATAACAAAAGATGCGCCAAAGCATCCTAAACTCAGCTGCTATCATTTGTATCTGTTCCGTTAGAAAGGGGACAGGTCTTTTAATTTTATTTTGTTAATAGAAACAAAAGATAAAATTTGAAGTTGTTTGTCTTAGATAAGGTGAGAATTTATTTAACACATTTGTGCCGGGCTTTTAAGTGCAGGCCTTACACTTCTGTAATTGTTAACGGTGTTTTTGTATGAAGTTTTGGTAACTGTGCTACATTTCACTCTCTTGCACATATTGATTTGTATTGATTATCTGCGTGAGGTTGGGGGTTTAAAAATGTTGAGGTACTCTGGTTGTGGCTGTAGGTGGAGTGATGGGATGAAGATCCCTTTTAGAAAATACTGGTTGACTCTCAGTCATTTGATGATTTTGAAATGAATTCTGTGTTGTCTTTTGATATCTTTTTTGGGAACATTGTTGGTATTAGAATAGTTTATGTAATTTGCTAATTTTTTCGCTTCCATGATGGTATACGAGCCAATGCTGTTGTCTCTGTTTGTACAACACAATAAGGACAGAAGATTTCTGTCTTCTGGATTGTTGCGCTGTGTAGTCTGGTCGATGTTAACCAACGTTTCAAAGGTCATACTGCCTCCGTCATCAGGTCGATGAATCAGACTACACAGCGGAACGACCCAGAAGACAGAAATCTTCACACTCACTGCTGTGCAAACCTCAAATCTTACACAATAAGGACATTTCTAGTGTGGGGAGTCCAAGAACATGTGCGCTACCATTGGTGGGAGGGAAGCATGCAAAAAATGTGTGAGCATTGCTACTGCTGACCATAACTGTACTTAATTAGTATTTTAAGTAATTTTTGTTAACGTAAGAAGTTGTTTGTGAGACCCCATGAGATTATGACCCTCATTTTCTGAATCCCATTCATACATAATAAATGGTATTGTTTGCTTGTTTTGTATTAAATAATCTTGTTATAGAATTCTTTGTGCAGTTTGTAAACGTTGGAGAGCCGTATGCTGGGAAATTTGGGGATGCCAGAAACACTTGGATTTCACATCTCTATCTTTTAAAACTACCTTTCTCTGAATCATACTTCAAAAGGCCAATACTTGAGGCATTTTTGAAACGATATAGAAATCTCCAAAGTCTTGATCTGTCTAAATGGCCTGATTACCTAGATGATTCAGAATGTAGAATTATCGGTGAGTGAATTTATATGGAAGATGATGCTTTTCTAATTAACTCTCACTGACTTAATCTGAATGGTATAGTACAGTTGATATCTGCCAGAGTACTACTGTGACACATACCAGGAAAAAAGCCCTGCAGCGGGAAATCGTTTCTGTTGCGGTGCGGGGGGGAATGTTACTTATTAGCTGGACTAGAGGGCTGCTATTGGTGGGAAGTGTGATACGTCAGAGTTTTACGCTACTACACACAGACTGAAAACATCAGGCAGTTAAGAGTAGCGTGTAGTGAGTGCACCTCTAATGTGTTCTGCGGGTGTTGCGATAATATTCTAGATTAAATCGCTGTGCCGCTGTGAGGTAATCTTAAAGCTGTACCCATTAGAACACATGAAAGCCTGTCGTCTGTTGTTCGTTCAGTGGTTGTGGAACGCATGCTTTTAGGATGGGTCGTCACTCAACGCGAAATCTTGCGCATGCGCGAGTATCGCATTCCTAACAGGGCTTCTCTCCTGATCTGTGGACTGTAGCTTGTCATGAAAAGGTAAGGTAGGTTACAGCTGCATCTTCTATACGCTGCATTTTCAATTTGTGATCTGAAAGAAAGAAATATTCTATTGCTTTTGTTGGTACATTGTTTAATAAGTCTGCTTTGTTTAAAATTAATTTTGTTAGCTTATTATGTTTGTATTATAAATAAACTATAGTTTTAGTTATTGTTTCAGCTACCTACTGTAAAAACCTTCGCTGTCTTAATCTTGCTCGTTTGATGATACCTTCAAGTGGTCTCAGAATTTTGTCAACCATTAGTCATGAACTGAGAGTGCTCAACTTGGATAATTGTTCAAACATTTTTGATAGAGACCTTCAGAGAATGTTTCAAGATTCTCCACACTTGGAATCTGTTTCATTAACCTACAACAGTCTGACAGGAAAATGTCTTCGATGCCTGGCACGCGCACCACTGAAGACATTGGTGCTGGATGACTGTAGGACGATCCAACCCGAGAGTCTTTTGAGTGGACTTCGTGAACTCAAGAGTCTTACTAGCCTTAGCCTCAATTCTTGTGTTAAGTTGTCCAGCAGTGATGTGTCAGGTATCATGGGTGCTGTCCCAAAACTACGATCATTGTCATTGGCAGATTATTACTACCCTGCAATTTATACAGATTTCGGAGCACTGGATCAGCTACATGACCTTATTAGCTTGAATCTTCATTTTAATTGTGCTGTTAATGGATGCCATCACAAGAAATTGTCTCAAGATTGAAGAACTCAACATATCAGGTGTGTTACATTTTGTTTGTAAAAAGTAAAGCTGTCCCACTATACGCCATGTAGGCGCTTGGGGGGGGGGAGGTGTAGCTCCTCTCTTCCTTGACCTCGGCACTAGATGGGGGTGAGTGGTCAGCATCACGCCCCGGCCATGCTTTACCCTCAGGACAGGACCCCGGTAACCTTTGACTAGGAGGCTTGATGGGCCCCAGAGCCGGTCTTGATGCAGAGGATAGAGGAAAATCCTCTGCCCCTGTCCGGGATTGAACCCCGGTTGCTATAATGACTGAGCTACGCCGGCTCGTACATTTTGTTTGCATCAGGTTGTAATTTTGTACGTGGATAACAAGAAATATTCAAGCTCTCTGTCTGGTTTATACAGGGGCTGTAGGTGTTGCCACTATGGATTTTTTTTGAAATTCCTGTAAATATTTTTTTTTTTTTTCAGAATTCCTGGCAGGTTGTTGAACATTGTCTTTAGGGATTGGGTGTTTTTGACACCTTAATTTTAATTTATGACATTACAAATTTGAGCTCTTGTTTGGGGAACATGATATACTGTCTGATATGATATCTGAATGTTTGTTAATTTTTTGCTGTGATTTATAACAAGTTCTTACAGTGGAATATTTGTGAAGAAACTATTTTGGTAGTAGGATTTAATACCATATTTTTTTGGAATGTAACAAGTCATTTTATAGGGTTTGTATAGAAATGCTTTCATGTGTTCCACATTAATTAATGTTTGTAGTAAAACTGTAACATTTTTGGTAATTTTTGAAAATTTGCCTTCTTACACATGCTTTATTACCATCTGTCCAGATATAATGTAAAGGGTTGGATTGATATGTTTGCCTGTTCTGTTTTCAGGTTGCAGTGGTAGTTCTAGGAAAGGAGGTTCTGTAACAGACAGTGGCTTCAGAGGCTTGGCAGCATTGCCAAATTTATTTGACCTGACCATGAGTTATATGGGAAATATGCCTGAAGCAGCATTGGAAGCTGTGGCACGCAAAGGAAAACTCCGGAAGCTCGTGTGTCGAGGCTGTCCAACTTTGACAGATGATGTTTGTATCAGGTACATGAATATTTCATCAGTATCAGTTTGCTTTTGTCTGTTGGTAATTTACATAGTTGACCAGCGGACTTAGAAATTCCATTATTTACTACAAAAAGTTTATTGTATTAGGTACAATGTAGATATTCTCGTTTACATTCATCAGTTGCTGCTCTGATGTATGTTTAACACACTTGTTCTTTGTACGAATAATTTTGTGTATGAGGAGGAAATAATTTTTATTGTTTTATTCCCGCGGCCATTTTGGGCGTGGGCGAAAATTTCCGGGTAGTATATCTCGCGACTCCGATGTGCTAGCGCACTAATTTTGGTGCCAAACGAAAGATCTCGTCTAGATCTGTTGATTTAAGCCATAAAAGTGAACTTTGTAAAAATGTTTGTTTATTTGTTATGCTAAATAAAAGCCATGTATCCATTTTGTTACTTTCACTTTATTCCTATATCCCAAATAAAATATTACCCGCTAACGCAGACGTATTCACGTAAAACCCACGGCCGTGTCCCCGACACAGCCACACCCCGATTTTTTTAGAAAGTCTAATATTAACATGAATTGTATTTTCAGTGTGATAACCTCATGCGATGAATTGGAACTTTTCGACTTAAGCGGGTGTAATCTCGTGACTATTGCCACCGTTCAGGCAGCGTTGGATTCCGTTAAATTGCGAACCAACGGCGTCAAGCTGACATTGGTAGTGGGATGTAAGTTGGGTCATTTTGACTGTAATGGTGTACCCTTTATTTCTGTCTGTGGAAATAATATTCTTTGTTCCTTTCGTTGTAGGAATGGACATGGAATATAGCATAGATGAGGAGGATGTATGCATCCAGAATGGCAGTTCCAATGTAGAACTCTGTCTTTATAATATCAGATTAATGGTGTTAGAAGACAGTGACATTTGTTTTCAGGCAGATACAGTCTTAAATGTAACAAGGATTTATACTTTTTTCAGACACCAGTGTTTGCAGATCTGCTGCTGTGGAAAAGAACCCATTACTTGAAGTGGATCTTTCAGACCTGTGTATCCATCGTCTTCGACCAGATTTTAACGATAATTATTACCCCCCACTGTCAGGTAATGAAGATTATAGGAATGATCGCTATAAATGGGGTAACTGTTCTTGATTACATTCAACAAGATGGCTGTCTTCTGGGTTTCAGCAATTGCCCTGGTGGTGGAGGCAGCAAGGACCTTTGAAACGCTTGTAAACTTCTACTGGACTGCATGGCGCTGCAACCCAGAAGACAGCCGTCTTTGTGCTCACTGCTGTGAGATCCTCAAATCCTACGCTTTTAATACACTTGCACTTTAATGGGTATTGTAATTAAGAAATAATGTAAAAATTAATGTTTTTTAGATTGTGCTTGCCATGCATTGTTTACAGATGATGATGATGATGATGATGATGATGAACGTTATTATTCTGATGATCCTAACGCCTACCTTAACATCTTCGCTCATAAGGAGTGATACATGAAAGTGACATTTTGGTAAGTTCTGTTATTCTTAATCTGGATAAACATTTTTAGTGGGTCACTCAATTTGGAGTATCGTTTCTGTCTTCCTGCTTGTAGTTCATTTTTAAATGTTAATGTGAGTTAACAGAGAGATTATTTAGTGGCTGTGCTGGGTTGTGAAGTTAGATTATAATGAGATTTCTAAAATAAATATTTTATCAGAAAATGTCTGAAATTTGTAACTGCAGGACATTTTTCTTTTAGACTATTAGAAGAACGGTACACACAACTTCCAGACCCAGCACCATATAGCTGTATGTTAAAATGGCATTAAGCGTTCACACCTTACAAGTTCGTTCGGCCGTCTCGTTGGTTCAGATGATATAGTGGTAGTACAAGGCTGAGTTTAATGTAAGTTAATCAATATTTGTGATACCGATATCCAAAGTTAGACTGGGGGTGGCTGGACAGTTTCGAAGAACAAACTCTTATTTCTTTGAGGATTAAAAATATATTTACATTTTTCCCAAACAATAAAAATATTCTTTCTGTGTTGTGTTCATTTCTTATTGTGTAGCCTGCATAACACAAACTCCTTCGATGATTATTTTTTTTCTGAAAATATGATCACATTAATAAATTAACCCACAAATTAAATTACTGTTGTTTTTCGATGAATCATATGTATTTGTAATGTACTGAATATTAGTTACAAATTTGTTATGATTATTATATCAAGTTATTTTGGGTCACTTTCCATCGTTTATAAAAATTAACATCCTCGCAATCACAGCGCACAGATAACACTGCAGTTAGTGCAGGAACTTAGACATGTGCTGCAGAAGGATAGAAGAGTTCCTATTTGCACTGTTTAGTGTAAAAATGCGTATAGCTTAGGAAAGTACGAGCATCTAGAGCCTGATATACGTACATTCTTTACAACTCAAATGAGCTCGGGTAAATAATGAATTGGAATTCAAATACTGTGCCAAAGTAACTTGGGTTAAGTTTTTTTATTTGCAGAAATCTTCAGCGTGAGATATCTTGCAATAATTAGGGTAGTGGTTAAAGAGCCAAAGTGAAGAACGTAATGTTTTAAATTCAACAAAAATATAAGTAAGCATGAATATGTGTTAAATTGAAATAGAAGTATGGAATTTAATTTATGAATTCAGAAAAAGGCATGTAGTGTATCTTTAGAATGAAAAGGAAGAAGAAGAAATTTATTAGTGTTGGAGAGGTAACGTCATGTAAAATGACATTTTAGGTTGTCATAGAAATTATGGTCTTCTGGGTTGTAGGTAGATACCAGCATTTCAGACGAATTTGCTGATTTACTGACTGTGTTTCTTTCTTTACAGAACCAAAACAGATTTAGAATTTTCAAGATGGCACGAGAAGACTGACTGAGAAATATTTAGTTAGATTTGAGGTTTTAATGGTGTCGAGTCTGAAGATGGCTGTATACTGTGTTGTGGCACCGCGTAGTCTGGTAGAAGTTTACCGACTTCTACCAGACTACGCGGTGCAACAGCCCAGAAGACGGCCATCGTCAGACGTCACTTATCCCAAGTCTTGAGA